AATTGGAGGAAACCCCAGGTCACTATTTCAACTTTGCTAATTTTGTTCACTAAATAACATGATAACACACACATGAGTAGTATTTTATCTAGTCGAAATAATTAATGTTTAGAATGGGCATAGATTGAATTACCCATAGATTACTTTTTTCCATTAGTATATTTCTTGCCTACAAAAACAAACCATGGCATAAGTTAGTCCACAGTTGATATGAACTCCCATTATCCCATACAACCAACCTATAGCAGCAGGAGAATACTTCCCTATCCTCGTTTCATTGTCTCGATAAGTATTCTCTCTTCCTCTGATAAGTGACATGAAGAGATATAACACCCTTGCCTATTGCCGGGGGATATGTGGAGATATATTTTGTTACTAATTATAAAAAGAAAAGGTGAGTTAAACAAACACTAATTAGCTAGAAAAGTTGCACAAAATACATCATGCCATTTTGAAGAATGGGGTTTTCGTGAAGAAATGGAAGCGTGTAGAAAATAGATTATAGGAGACACAGGTCACCATCACTCTTCCATGGCAATCCAACACTTAAACTAATTAGAGAATTAAAATGCCACGCATTTTGGTCTAATTGTTATTGACTTTGAATTTTGCTGCAACCAATTAGGACTATGAGTCTTTAATTTATGATGCATTAAGAAAAGTTTCTAATTGAATTAAGAAAAGTTTAACATATAAAGAAACCTAAGTTATCCAATAAAATGACTTTGGTGATGACCAGAAGAAACAGAGGAAACCTACCAAATTTTGCTAATTGAATACGTGGACCAATCGTATTTTGTCGACTAGAAATAAACAATGTATAAAATGGACATAAATTTGAATCAAACTAAACACTGTGACATGTGACATGATCATTTGTACATAAATTTAGTGATGAAATGGTGCTCATCACTATTTTTAAAATTGGATGTTTCAACAGGCGGAACAAAGAGCTTGGTGGAATTCAACAAGTCCTGGCAGCTCAACAAAAATCAACAAAGACAAAAGGCAGATCCAAACAGCTTGATCAACTCTATCACCAGGCCAAAGCTTTCCCTCAAGGATGCAATAAGTGCAAGCATTTCAAGAGGCAAACTAGTTTCCGGTGCACCAAATGACCCAAGCCTCTCCTCCTCAGTCCCCACATTCGCCAACCCATGTTGGATTGAAATAGCAGTCATCTCCAAACGCTCCCTCACAAACTCAAGACGAATGCCGGAGCTCTTCGGCATTCGCCTAGGTGCAGTCCTCGTGACCGGGCTTATTTTAGCCACTATGTTTTGGAAGCTTGACAACTCTCCAAAAGGTGTCCAAGAGCGGTTGGGCTTTTTCGCCTTCGCCATGTCCACCACGTTCTACACGTGCGCCGAGGCCATCCCAATCTTCCTCCAAGAACGCTACATTTTCATGAGAGAAACCGCCTACAACGCTTATCGCCGATCCTCTTACGTTCTTGCTCACTCTCTAATCTCCATTCCCTCCCTACTCTTCCTCTCCTTAGCCTTTGCCGCCACGACCTTTTGGGCCGTGGGCTTGGCTGGCGGTGTTCATGGCTTCCTCTTCTTTTTCTTCACAATTTGCTCAGCGTTTTGGGCCGGGAGTTCTTTCGTCACATTCCTTTCGGGCATTGTGACCCATGTCATGTTGGGCTACACAGTTGTGGTGGCCATTTTGGCCTACTTCCTTCTCTTTAGCGGGTTCTTCATAAGTAGAGATAGAATCCCACTCTATTGGATTTGGTTCCACTACATTTCTCTAGTGAAGTACCCATATGAAGGTGTCTTGCAAAATGAGTTTGATGACCCCACCAAGTGCTTTGTGAGAGGGACCCAGATGTTTGACAACACACCACTAGGAACCGTCCCCGTGGCAATGAAGTTGGAGCTGCTCAAGAGCATGAGCGCCACTTTGGGCGTCAACATCACCGGCTCCACGTGCGTGACCACGGGAGCAGATATACTGAAGCAGCAGGGGATAACTGATCTCAGTAAATGGAGTTGCTTGTGGATCACCGTTGCCTGGGGGTTCTTCTTTAGGTTTCTGTTTTATCTTACTTTGTTGTTGGGCAGCAAGAACAAGAGGAGGTAGTAATTTGTGAGGTGAGGGCTGTCACAGTCATGTAATCTGTCTGATTATTATTTGCTTTATTAATTTTCAGTGTATAATTGTAAGTTATTACCATGTAGTTTTGTAATTCATGCAACACATTGCTTATAAGAGATTTTCACTTCCGACGTCTTGGACCACGATTAATTAGAGGTTGTCACGTGTCCAAGATAAAAGAAAAAATTGAAACTGCTCTTATGGAAGGAGAAATTCTTTGGTCCGGCATGTGAACTACATCACCCGTCAAAAGATTTATTTGCATTGGGCTGGGATGAGCATGGGTCTGGGTGCGACTCAAATACAACCGGACCCTTTATTTGTGTGTGTGACCAGAGGAGCGACGTGGTATGCCTGCCGAGTCCTATAGAACAGATGCCTGAAATCTATCATAGGTTCTAATTCTAAGACAACCTAACAAGCTCAATGCCAACTAGATATGGGGTCAACTCAGAACAAAAGGAAATAAAACGAGTCAACTCGGAACAAATTAGTGACCATGTGTAAGTTGGGGAGCTTCTATAATGAGGATTTATAGTGAGGAGGCTATTTGAGGAGGCCCATCTCACCATCAAAAGGGGTGTGGACCCCCCAATGCACCCCCCCCCCATGTACTTTGTTTTTAGTTGTTGATGGTGAGATTTCACCTCCTCAAATAACCTCCTCACTCAACCTCCTCATTCTAGCCTCTCCAGTGTAAGTTGAATTTTAGTTTTGGGGCCAAATTGTACCTATCGATCCAGGAATCCTCCAAATTGAGCCGGAAGTACTTTTATAAAGTCAATTGGGTCAAGGCCCATTAATCGGAGGCCCATGAAGCAATAAATAATGACATTTGGCGGTGATGTTACCCACCCAAACCCGGATAGATTTTGGGATCCTAACCCTTGGATAAAAGAAAAACATATCCTGGCCGTCAAACCTGTCGGCTTCGTTCTATAAATAACAGAAACAGAATCTATCTGTCTATCTCTCTGTGTTTCGAAAGCGCTATTAGGGTTAAATCGAAATTTGGGGCTTTTTAACCAGTCAAGGTACGCGCTTTTAACAATAATTCAATTGTTTAAGTACTTGGGATTTCAAAGGGTTTTCTCGTTTATTTTTCGTTCGCAATTCAGTGAGTCTATAAAGTTTTGAGTTTTTTTTAATTTTTTCAATAGGTTTTAAATAGATTTGTTTTTCTGTATGCGATAATTTGCTTTCGAATTTATATGTTGAGCTGGAGGTTTGTAGATCCTGGGTAATTTCATTTTAAGGTGATTAAAGAATGTAATTAGGGCTTGTCAGTTGTTTCTGGAAACTTGATTGGTTTACGCTCTGCTCTTTTTTCTTCAAATTGTTTTTGGAGGGGGTTAATTTTCTGATTATTCGAGATTAGGAGTTTCTGCTTTAGATAGTGTGCAAAATTTACTATGCCCCACGCAATGGATTCTCAAATTATCCCTTATCTGTGTATGTTTCTTTTTTAAATCCACTAATGAGTTGTGTCTGAAATAATTACATGCAGTGTTTTGGAACTGGAAATGTTACGTATTTTTGTGTGTCTCCTAATTCCCTATTATTCATGTCAATTAACTGGATTTGTGAAGCAAGTTTTATATTTTTGGGGGACAGAATTGTAGCAAGGTTTCTTGTTCAGTGTTTACCTTGCTAATTACATTTTTTTTTGGCAGCTTGAAAATGCCTCGTTATGATGATCGATATGGCAATACGCGCCTATATGTTGGTCGTTTGGCTTCACGCACGCGTTCACGTGATCTGGAACGCCTTTTCAGCAGATATGGCAGGTAATTGCTTTTGTTGTTTCAGAATGTATTTTTAGTGATAAATTGTTATTTCTGAATGTGTTTTGAGTGATAAACTCATCATCCATGCAATATATTCAAAATCACAGTAGTCATGTTAAGGTACCTTATGAATTGAAATCTTAATGGAAAACTAACTTATCCATGCAATATATTTGAAATCACAACATCAGTTCGTGAGGGTATCCACCAGAAGTGTTGGGGACATTTGGTTCCTTGCCAAGCTTGCCTTTGTGCTTGGTTTAATGTAAATTTTCATGTTCTGTGTGGGAGCTTTTTGCCCCTAGGTGTTGTGTTTTCTTAACTTGAATAATCTTGTTGAAGGTTTTCTGGGGTTTGGCCTTACTTGGAGGTCTATGGTGAGAGGGTGGCCTTGGTGGAATTGGTGGAAATTCTTGCCGAGTGTATATGAGACTTTGGTGATTCTTTCTGTAGTCTTATTGCGTGTTTTTATGCAAATGGCAACAATCTCAATCTGGTGTTTAGTTCGTCTGTGACGGGCGAAGTATCATGCACTTGAAGTACTTAAGTAATGATAGCCTTACTGTTTATGGCAACCATTTACGCAGAGTACGAGATGTGGACATGAAGCGAGAGTTTGCATTTGTTGTAAGTTTTTCTTACTCTTGGTTTTTCTATTATTTTTGCTTATATTTTGTTACCTTCAGAACCTGCTTATGGATCATAAAACCCAAAAAATGGGGGTCACCTGTTTTGTCTTCTACTCTTACTTATTGATAACAGGAATTTAGTGATCCTCGAGATGCTGATGATGCCAGATATAGCTTAGATGGTCGGGAGTTTGATGGAACTCGTCTTATTGTTGAATTTGCAAAGGGGGTAAGGTCTATAAGCTGAATTTTCCTTTCCAAGTCAAATACCTGTGCATGTTATACTACGGATTCTTCCAAGTTTTTGAATTAAAATGCCCCTTCTAGTTTCCTGGTTACATACAAGGGTGTCACAGTGCCAGTTCATGATTGCTATGCATGCTGTACTCCCAATCTTAAATCACTCTTTTCCGCGTCACTTTATATTACTGTTCTCAGGTTTCTAATCTGTTCATGTTCTCTCATCAAACTGACATCTCCTTTCTGTGTTACGTGGAATAGGGACCGCGTGGTTCCCGGGAATATCTGGGAAGAGGTCCTACTCCTGGGTCTGGTCGTTGCTTTAATTGCGGTATTGATGGCCACTGGGCTCGTGATTGCAAGGCTGGGGACTGGAAGAATAAATGCTATCGCTGTGGAGAAAGAGGTCATATAGAAAGGCAGTGCAAAAATAGCCCCAAGGAGTTAAGGTAATCACTTTTTGTCAAGTCTTGTTTCATTGCTTGTTTCCTTCCCCCTCCTGTTTTTGGATGCACTGTGGGATTCTTTTTTGACATTGTTCAAATTACATTGAAGGCGTGGGCGGAGTCGTTCACCTGGATCACGTTCGCCTCGCCGTGGGAGAAGCCGTAGCCCAAGTTACAGCCGAAGCCGCAGCTATAGGTCAGTGAGTATGCTCTTGATTTCGAGTTTCGTTATCAAATGTATTTTATCATATTATATCATGTGTTCTTGGATGTATTTGTAATTTTGACATGATTGATATGAAGATCATTTACAACATTTGTTTACTGTAGTTTTGTGTAGTGAGTGAGTGAGTCGTAACATGCTTGGCGTTTAGAACTGTGTTTCTTTTATTTAAGAGAATAACTGAATTGGTATTCCTCATATGACCTAATGTGGAGGGGAAATGGTGAACAAACTTAGATTCAGATGCATGATGTATATTGAGATTTGTACTTCATATTTTTCTAACAACTTGATCATTTTGTGTGTTGCCAGTCGATCAAGATCCCCAGCAAGGAGAGGGAGAAGCCGAAGCCTGGATCGGTATGACAGATCACTGAGCCCTCCTTACAGGAAGAGTCCACCGCCCTCAAAGGGGAGGAAGCACAGCCTTACACCTGATCAAGGCAGCCCACGTGGGAGAGGTAGCCCTTCTCCCAGAAATGGTAGACTCAGCACAGAGCGAGATGGCTCAGACTACAGTCCCAGGGGAAATAGTAGAAGTCCAGTTAGCCCCAGAGGGAAAAGCAGAAGCCCGAGTAGCCCTGGAAGGGATAGCCCTACTGTAGGGAAGTACCCGAGCCCTACCGAAGCTAATGGTCGCAGCCCCAGTCCAAGGGACGATCGGAGCCCTGTTGATTATGAGGATGGACGCAGTCCGTCACCCTAGGCTGTTCTGGAGAAGAATTTGTTGTCTCTTAGACAAAACTTTGAGCATGCATAAACTATTTAAAATTTCCCTGCTTGTTCCATCTATGAGCATATTTGACTCGCTTGTTCTATTTAAATATTACATAAGAAACCAAAAAAGAAAAAAAAACCACTTGAGTTCAATCTTGTTACCCTATTTTGAAACTAGTCTTCTCTTCAAGACATATCAATAAAATAGAACTAACTGAGTTTAGAACAATCACCCCATTACATCTGTAATTTATGAAAACACATGGACTAAATTGGCCTACGTATACCAGCGATTTTAGCATTTAAGCCTTATTGTTACTACAAACCTGGCACTAAAGAATTTGACCAGCTATATAATCCCTAATTACATTTCACAATTAATTTATTGTTTTGAATTTAATTGCCAGGTAAAAATGCCAGAAATTGAGTAAATAATTAGACAAATAAATTACGAGTTTGGAACAGATAACTGGTTGGAATAACCAAAAAAATAAAAAATTCCATTTCTTGGTCAAATTAAATTTTAGTTATTTTCTTTCCTGGAATAAGAACACTACAAGAAACCTTCTGCAACAATTTGAATAAACCTTTAGCATTTAAGCCTTATTGTTACTACAAACCTGGCACTAAAGAATTTGACCAGCTATATAATCCCTAATTGCATTTCACAATTAATTGATTGTTTTGAATTTAATTGCCAGGTAAAAATGCCAGAAATTGAGTAAATAATTAGACAAATAAATTACGAGTTTGGAACAGATAACTGGTTGGAATAACCAAAAAAATAAAAAATTCCATTTCTTGGTCAAATTAAATTTTAGTTATTTTCTTTCCTGGAATAAGAACACTACAAGAAACCTTCTGCAACAATTTGAATAAACCTAAACCACCGCCCTCCTCCAACTCTTATCCACAAAATGCCCAGCGCAGTGGCTTTGCCCTGTCTTGGCATAGTCAGCATGGCACGCCGGCCACGTCAGACGGCCAAGACAAAGCCAAGCAAAATCCCGCTGCCTTCGACGACGAGTATCGGGTTCGGGACGAAGAGGAGGGAGCAGACGTGGCAGGGCATAGAGGGTTGTGGAGCTTGCTGCAAGCTCGAAAAAGGTCCCTCCTTTGCTACCCCTGAAGAAATCTTCAATAACCCAACTGACATTGAGGTTTGCTCTTCTTAACGTCTCTGAGAAAATCCTCAATATCATTTGTTTTCTTTTTCTTTTTCGTTTTCTGAATTGGGTTTTATGTGAAATATTTCAGCTTTACAGAAGCATGGTGGGTGCAGATGGGTGGTGTGTGAACTTCGACAAAGGCACACGCAAGTGCTTAATTTACAATGGTGAGGCATTTCATTTCACTTGTTTTACAAAGCTCACCTTTTTGCTTTCAGCCTTCTCATTTTACTTTGAAATCTTTAACAGATCGTCCCTATTTTTGTCGTGTGGAGGCGGAGGTTTTTCAATCACTGTATGGGATTAATGAGAAGAAGTTCAACAAGGAAGCCTGCAGTTGGTTTTCTGTTAAAAGCAATTGAGAATGATGTGTTATTTTAGTTTTTCTTGTTCATGCTTTGATTTGGCTCAGTTTTCCATCTTTTTGGTTGCAGGAGCTGCAGGGACACCATAAAGTCTGTTTATGGTCCTCATTCAAAAGAGTTGGTTAACTTCAACAGCGCAGTAACTTCAAGCTCCAGCAGCAATAGTTGTTAAATGAATGCAATTTCAATGCATTGCTAATTATGACAGGCTTAGCTACGTAATTCTTGCAGCAAACTGGTATAACAGAATTGGGCAAGATTCAATTTTGATGGACCTTCAAATTCCCCACTCAATTCAGAGCACCAAACTAGCCAATGATTAGTGATCTCCACTTGGGGAAGAAGCTTCGAGAGCCAGAGTTTTTCGGCATCTGCAGATTCTGAGACAAGAAATAGGCTTATCCAAAGTGACAATTTAATGTAATTCACAAAGTGCTTATTTGAATCTTTCAACATTTTTGTTTACAAGGTTGAGGACTTGGACATAGCTCAGAACACTTGTACCAAAACCATCTTGAAAATGATTGGTTTTGCATAAAGAGCTCAGTTTGCTTAATCTACTTGATTTAGAATTAATTTGTACACCTGTCGAATACTGATCATATTTGATTTACAATTAAACACATGGACTTATCAGATTAAGCTCAGAGTTGTAGGAGCGTGAGAAAATTGCGTGGACATATGACCTCTAAGCCAGTGAAAGCTCTCAAACTTGGTCCAAGTCCACCAGTCTGTTAAAACCGTTATTTCAAGAAGATTCATAACCACCGCAGATCCAAATTCAAGAACTTCTCCTCAAACACTTTGTTCACCTCCTCCTCTTTCTGTCCCTCTCTCCAAAATGCCAAAGCTGATGATCTCACAAACCTCAACTTCAACCATGTCCAAACTTCTCCTTGTAGCCTTCTTGGCCCTCACTCCCACCATTGAAGCCCTCTGCTCAGACACCGTGTTCACTTCTCTCTCGTCATCTGGCTTCACACTCTTTGCTCATGCTTTGCATTCCCACAACCTCACTGCCACCGCCAACACCACCGTCACCTGTTTCGTCCCGCCCGATGACAGCTTCTTAGGGCAACCCCTCAATGCCAACACCCTCCGCGCTCACATCTACACGTCGGAGGCCTTGCCTTACCAGTCCCTCCTTAGGCTTCCACTGAACACCACCCTCCCAGCTCTCCACCACAACACAAGGCTTGTTTTCGGCACTGATGGCAAAAGGGTCTCTTTCAATGACGTTCTTGTCACTGCCCCGAATCTCCACATTGATGATTCTTGTGTTGTTCATGGCGTTGAAGGGCCTTTGGTGCCAATCCCATCATTGATGGATGATGTTCCGAGGCCAAGAACCCAGACTCTGCCATCTCCAGCCTTGCCAAAGCATCAGGGTCGTCGTCGGTTCACAGAGATTGTCAGGTTTATTCGTCGTGCACACAATCCAGTTCTTGTGGATGGGGATCAAGACACCTACCTCCCTTGAGAATTTTTGAAGTCTTGGCAATGTTTCTTTGTCTTGACGGGATATTTGATGTTTTACTGTTAGTGGAGCATTTCGATTCTGGTTGTTAATCTTTGTGATTTAGGTAGTCGTATTGTTTGAGATTTAGGTGGTTTTGGATCAAAAGAGTGTCAAATCATGGTGCAGGTTCCATTTCTTGTGGAACCAGAAATGCTGTGTAATTGTAAACCATAATGAAATACCATTTGGGATTTATTCCAAACCAGTTTCTTTCTTTTCTTCATTAGTGATCTCCTCATAAACAGAATTTATGAGCTGAAGTTTACATTTGATGAATTCAGCAGTGAATTGTTGTTGTGTGACAGCTTGAGAAGATATTTTGCCAACCACATTGCAAGCTAATGGGAATGTATGGACCAAAAGAAAGGCTTTCTCAACAAGTGGAGGCTGTGACTTCTTCTCTCAGAGAATGAGAATCGAATAAAGATGCTCTGCCGGCCAATCACTAAAGCCTTCTTTTCATACAAAAAGATATTCGGTTCATGAAGGCATTAGTAGTTAGTAACCAAAGTTATGGCCATTTACGATAGATTTCAGAGACCAATATGCTCATGTTCCCTTTTCTTTTCTTGTATCAGAAATAACCTTTCCCACATAATATAATATGCTCTAGCCTCTAGCCTTTCCTCGAATGTCCCAACTCCTGAATGCTTCCTTCCTAGAATAGAATAGAATTACATGTCTACATGAGACTAAGCTAAGTTTCAGAGAGACCATTGAGCAAGGTTCAACCTGCGTTGGAGCTTGAACATGAACGAGGCAAGAGTCGAAGAAACCCAACTCATTCCATATGATAGAAATTATGTCATTGCTTACAATGATGAACATCAGCCATCAGATGCAATATGGTATCCTTGTCCTTTCTTCAACCCCATTTCTTCCCAGGAGGGATTTCTTGATGGTTTAACATCTCCATCATGTGGGACAGAAGAGGCCGATTTCGCTAGCGGTCTCTGGAATGAGAATGAACTTGCTGAGGAGACTTATGAGGGTGACGAGTTACCATATTATGGCTGTGGAAACTGGCTCAGAGAATATGAGAGCTCCTTTGGTCAGTGTTGGGGAGACGGTTACTTCTCCCATGGCAATGGAACTCACAACAATGAAGGAGACAGTGAGTTGAAGGAGATAGAAGGCTCCAGGCAGAGTGAACAACAACATGAAATCCATTTGAGGCATGAAGAAGCCACTCAAGATGGCCATCCTTCTTGTGACTCTAATCCTTGGTATGATCTTTGGCTTGCATTTGGAGGGAAAACAGAGACCTGTGGCTGGGGTGAGCAAGAAACCAGGATCACACCTTCCTACAATGTGCCGGATATTGGAGTCTGTGAGAGTCTTTTTGGCTACTGGCCTTGCTTGTATCGATAAGACTGAAAGACATGTAATGAACATCTAGTGAACAATGACTTGGCAACAATCTTTGTGATCATGGAATTTTTGTGTTTCTCATTTTGATGTAAGATATGGGTGAATTGTAGATTTAGGTAGTTTAGCGGAAGCGAAAACAATGAAAACAGAAAATTAAACACATAAAGATGGGTCTGGAATCACTCAAGGGGCTTCACACCCGTCCTTGGCTTCGCACCAAGGGATTTGGCTACACATCAGAATTCTCTAATATCTGGACTCAATAACTCAAATCTACCATAATGAATTACATGGGAGGTTATTTATAGAAAATTAAAACCAAGAATGAGGGACTTCCCCAAATTCGTCTCCACAATCTTCGTCGGCAAGTTGGGGCTCATAAAACCTATCGGTACTGTAAGTAACACCTATTGAGGTGTTACTTAGTCATGGGACTTTCGCCTCCCAAAGTTCCTCTTCAAAGTTCCTTGTCATTTCTCAAATCCTTCTTTAAATTTTGCTAAACAGGTTAGTTTTGATCATATGGGACTTTCAAGCCCCAAATCCCATCTCTAAGTACCTCATCCAAACACACTCTAGAGAACTTAAAGAATCCATGGAAACATAAAACTCACAAATTCAGGCAGATGCCACTAGACCAACAAATCTGCCACCTCAGTACTCAAAATGTTTGCCCTCGTTTTGTTTTCCTCGTGTATGAAACCACTCGACTCCCAGAATAGGCTTAAAAACCACCTAATCCCTCAACCATGGGACTTGAAACTGTCCCAAGTTTACTGCTGCTGCTCATATATCTGCATATAAGTCTCAGAAAGGGCAAACATTTGGGGAAGAGTTTCTGAAACATGAAGATCCTGCATCTCATGCCATAATTCTTCTGACTTTCTCTGTACAAATATCCTGTATGAACCTTCACCAGGTTTGCCATCATGAACAATGTTGGCAATCAGATCATACTTTGAACGCAAACTCTCATTCTCTTCGGGGATTGACAAGGGGATGGGCTTCACACCCGTCCTTGGCTTCGCACCAAGGGATTTGGCTACACATTAGAATTCTCTAATATCTGGACTCAATAACTCAAATATACCATAATGAATTACATGGGAGGTTATTTATAGCAAATTAAAACCAAGAATGAGGGACTTCACCAAATTCGTCTCCACAATCTTTGTCGGCAAGTTGGGGCTCATAAAACCTATCAGTACTGTAAGTAACACCTATTGAGGTGTTACTTAGTCATGGGACTTTCGCCTCCCAAAGTTCCTCTTCAAAGTTCCTTGTCATTTCTCAAATCCTTCTTTAAATTTTGCTAAACAGGTTAGTTTTGATCATATGGGACTTTCAAGCCCCAAATCCCATCTCTAAGTACCTCATCCAAACACACTCTAGACTCTAGAGAACTTAAAGAATCCATGGAAACATAAAACTCACAAATTCAGGCAGATGCCACTAGACCAACAAATCTGCCACCTCAGTACTCAAAATGTTTGCCCTCGTTTTGTTTTCCTCGTGTATGAAACCACTCGACTCCCAGAATAGGCTTAAAAACCACCTAATCCCTCAACCATGGGACTTGAAACTGTCCCAAGTTTACTGCTGCTGCTCATATATCTGCATATAAGTCTCAGAAAGGGCAAACATTTGGGGAAGAGTTTCTGAAACATGAAGATCCTGCATCTCATGCCATAATTCTTCTGACTTTCTCTGTACAAATATCCTGTATGAACCTTCACCAGGTTTGCCATCATGAACAATGTTGGCAATCAGATCATACTTTGAACGCAAACTCTCATTCTCTTCGGGGATTGACAAGGGGATGTTGTCTTTTTCACATGAAAGTCGACTAAAGTCGGATTCTTTTCCACAAAGAAGTTGTTCTTGGTAAATCGCTGAATGTGGAGAGTAAGATACTGTGGTAATCGGGTGACTCGATACCTCATCCTTGCTATGCGAGGTGGGACTACTTCAGTCACAGTCTCCCCATCAAATTTCTTCAAAATGTTGGACAGCCGGACCAGGGGTATTATGTTTTTCTCCATCACATCTTTGGAAAGAGGTGGTGGGGGCAAATCCAACCCAAGCATTAAGAAAGGCATTTGTAAGTTTCCTTGAGAATGCCGTTGTTTTCAGTGGCAGCATCTATATTCTGATCACCACCATTTTCTTTCTTAGGAATCTCCTTCACAACCTCCAATTCCCCTGAAAGCACTCATAGATGCTGCTGCTATCTTTCTTTGAAGTTGTAAGATGTGCATGCAGTGTATTAAGCAGCCATGAGATGAATTCAACAGGGTCAGATTGCTCTCCTATTCGAAACCGTTTCTTACTGGCTTTCATAACTGCCTGCAGGAACTCATGCGGGCTCACCTGTCCTTCGAAGTTGGGTGCATGCCATATCTTTCTCGTGAGCTCCCTGAATCGATGAACAAGTGGAGACTTGCAATGTTGATAATTCTTAGGGATGAGGAAAAAGTTTCTTAGTGGAGTGACTCTCATTAAAGATTGAATGTTGACATTGACAAAATCAGTCTCCTTATTGTTATTGAGCCCCAACATTCCAGGAAGGTAATAAGAACCATCAAGTGCCCTAGAGTATTGCCTGTTTTTGTCAATCTGCTCAACTTGTTCCTCCATAAACCTCGGGTTCAGGACATGTCTAATGTCATACATGGTGTCCAGCTTCAAGGCTATGAGTATATGCAAGGGACTCGTTCCCTTTTCCTTGGTAATAGTTGCCACATACTAAACATGCATACACATTCAAATTTGACAGAGACAGAGAACAAAACTTCTCAAAATCAAAATCCAAAACCTGGCGATTAACAGCGTCAAGATATGGGCAATCCCTCCCGACCTCAATTTCAAGGCTCCGCCTGTAAAGTCCTTGTTCAAGATCATCATCATCATCATCTTCTTCTTCTACTTCAACGTCAACCCCACTTTTTAGATCCCTTTGATTATCACCATCATCCCCTCTATAGCCATCAACAGGTGGCCTTCTCTGGTTGTCCTCGTCATCCTCAGAGGCAGGTGGAGGTGGTGAAGAGGAAGGAGATGAATGTCCATTCTGTTTTTGCCTCTTTGGGTCAGATTCAAACTCTTCCGCGTTCACTCTAACATTATCTTCATGTTCCCTCTTAGAGTTCATTCTCTTGACCCAGCTCAAATCTCACTGTTTTTACAATAATACCTGGATCAGTGTGGTGTTAGCAGTTTGGAGAAGTAACAGAGAGAGTCTTGAGACCAAGAAAGGAAGGCTCATGTAAGAAACAGATTGGGCTTTGATGCAGGATATGGGTGAATGGTAGATTTAGGTAGTTTAGTGGAGGCGAAAACAATGAAAACAGAAAGAATTCTCCAATCCATGGAAAATAAACTTTACTCAATAACTCAAATCCAGAGACAATAGGATAAAAATCTCTTACTAAACAGAAATCCTAATCCACAAAGGAACTAATCCAAATAAACTCGGAAACTTTAATAAAATCCTATTAAAATCTGGAAACTAGAGAACCTAGGAAAATAACAAATAAATTAGGAACCTATATAATGATGCCCGCATCACTTTCATTTGTATAACTCACAATATTAAATATACAACTCTTAACTTCGACTAAAGTATGAACAAAGCCATGCACCCACCGACGACAGAGGGTTTCATCTCAGGCCAATCAAGAATACATTGAGCGTCACAAGAAAAGTAAGATTTTGCACAGTATGTATCTAACTTTATCTTTGTTCTCTTTTTTTACTCTTTACAATAGCAAAATTTATGTAAGATCAACCTACTGTAAAGAAGGTCAAAAATTAAATTAACTGTAAGTCATCATAGTACATGGTCAAGCCCCAATTCCTCTTCAATATCATCCCCATCTTCAAACAGCTTTAGGAACCGAGCTTGATCTTGCTCTCTCTTCTTCTTTTGCCAGAACTTGTATGCAAGTACTCCTCCAACAATACACACTACTAAAATGACAACAACGATTAATATCACTAGAGCAATATGCCATCCATTTTTCTTTTCTTCTTTAGGTGCCGCAGTGGCAGACTTGGAATCTGCAAACATATGGCCAGAAAGTTATGATTACAAGTTGGACACTAAATATAAGAGTAGATTGGATTCAAATACAGATGTATGCATGCCAACAACAGCTACCCCAGTTGGTAATCAAGTATGAAATGAAGGCAGCATCATCAAGAAAATCTGGAAATTCCCGTATTATTGAACGCATTCAACTACAGTTGAGAATCATGCAGAGCTTTATCTTCTGTTATTTCTAGCAAACAGACACCACCAAAGTTCCTAGTCACTCATTTGAGTAACATGTACTAAAATATCATTAGCTAGGAATGGTATCCAATATGGGAGCATTGGCATGCCATCTAAAAGTGAGCTTACTCTGACCAGTTTAAGGCTTTAACCACAAAACTCTGTATCAACTTAAACTAGGCATGAAGGAAATGATCTCAAAATTTTCAATTGAGTAGACTCTCACTCACCAGGTGAAGCAGCAGGTAGACAATTTGGACATGAAAAGGTAGCGTTGAATTCCTTGCTCTTGAATCGGACGTATTTTCCATCAGAAGAATTGAAGTCAGAAGGACATAACTCCCACTCATCATATTTGTCATCTGATTTAAAGGTGTCCTTCTCATACAACCCGCATCGCTTGCACTTCTTACTCGAAAACTCTGTCAGAGGCTGAAAGCATGAAAAATCATAATTCCATCAGAAACCTACCCAATTAAAAGCTCAACAACAGCTTTTCAGCTCAAAACAGCTTTTGGGTACATACATACAATTGATTTCTAGCAGGACATCAGACATGTTATGCTGTCACAGTCAATCAGTACCGCACATTATTCTACCTATTCAATGGCCCTGATCTCACAACACCATACGGCTAGTTATGTTTTCTAAATTGGACCAAACAGAATTCATCTTATCAAAAATTACAGTCTTAAATTTTAAAACAAAGGCAAATTGAAATAGAAACGGAAATTTTGAGCATAAGCACAATCTCACCTGCCAAGACTCTTCGCCTTTGAATTCATACGACACGTTCTTTTCCTTCACATCTGGAAACACCGTCTTGTTCTCCCCTTGGCATGTGAAATACACAATCGGCTTCACACCTTTTATGAACTCGTGCGTGTCGTATATCACAATCGAATCCAGCGTTACGGTCGCCGATAATATACATCCTACGTACAAAAACAAACAAATCAATCTCACACACAACGGCGTCGTATTCAACACATCAAATTCCTGTTTGTTTCCCGAGAAAAATAATGAAAATTTACCTGGAAAACAGCTGAGGAACACGCCAAAGACGATAAAATTGATTGAAACCTTAGAAATCCGCGGTTTCCGAATCGGCATATCGAGATTTATATCGCGTTTTGTCCAAAATTTGGAGGAGATGATCGGACAGAGAAACGGCGGGAGTGCGCGATAAGCAGCTCTCTCCTTTGTCTCTCTGAGACCACCGCGAGGAGGGGAAATTTCGTCAAATGAAAAGTGTGGTTGGTGTTGTTGTGGCGGTGGTTTTTGCTGGTGTTTTCGAATCTTTTTGTTTTCGTGAGCTCGAAGAAGATGAAGATGAGAGATAAACGAAAAGCGGGGTTGACCGTGACCAGTTCGCGCTTCGCGCTACGCCATTTCGGAAATTACACGGGGTTCAAGTCTCTGGTGGGCTAGGTGCGTAGTGCGCACACCACTTCTCAGATCATGCCACGTAGTTGAAAAGCAAATGAAGGCAAATTACATTTGTAGTCTCTGTAGTCTGTAATATTTCTGATTTTTTTACTTGAGCACATGTAGTTTTAGTTTTAGCAATTAAAGACATGTAATTTTATTTAGATTTGCAATTCAGGACAACCCTTAAATTTGTTAATGCTCCAAATTAAAATATAAAGTGGCAACATGTCATGGATATACATGCATGGCAATCTATTCTTTGTTAAGCTATTATTCAGTTATTGTTCTTAATTGTAAGTAAAAAGCCGTTAATTGCATATTATCATATGTTTAAATGACGGTTTAGGTACTGGCTATCACGTTTGGGTTATGAATAGACTTTTCATATTATATTCTTTATCATTTTACGGTGCTTCTTTGGGTTATAAATAGACTTTTCATACAATATTCTTTATCATCTTATATGATGTTTCATTCAATTTTGAATGAAACATCATTTTCAACAATAACGTTAAAATCAAGACTACAAGTATAATTTGACCTTGATCAAATGAGAGAGTTAGAAAAATAAATACACTACTTAATCTATTCCCTCCATTGTTGATGAAACCAAACTTTTCCAAATAAAATTGAATGTGACCAAATCTTTTTCATTTTGAAATAGACAAAAGAGATTAATGGACAATTAGAATATTGTCACGAATTGATCAAGAACATGAGTCATATAGTCCTTGATATATAAGACCAAAAAATAAAATAAAATAATCCTTGATACATCATAGTCTATTTGATGATGGCGGAGCCACTCCTCTTCTACATACAATTTACTAATAGACAACTTGTAATTTAAATTAATTGCCCCTTTAAAAACAATTAGACATGATAAATTTTGAAAATTTTAGTTCTAACATGTGTTTTGAACACTTAAATGTATTTGATATACTTGTGTTTTCTATCTCAGTCCCCCCCGATCTTATAATTCTAACTCCGCCCTTAAACTTTTCCAAATAAAATTGAATGTGACCAAATCTTTTTCATTTTGAAATAGACAAAAAAAATTAATGGACAATTAGAGTATTGTCACGAATTGATCAAGAACATGAGTCATATAGTCCTTGATATATCAGACCAAAAAATAAAATAAAATAGTCCTTGATACATCATAGTCTGTTTGATGATGGCGGAGCCACTCCTAGACCAGGAGTGGCCCTAGCCTTCTACATACAATTTACTAATGGACAACTTGTAATTTAAATTAATTGCCCCTTTAAAAACAATTAGACATGACTAATTTTGAAAATTTTAGTTCTAACATGTGTTTTGAACACTTAAATGTATTTGATGTACTTGTGTTTTCTATCTCAGTCCCCCCCATCTTATAATTATAGCTCCGCCCTTGAGTGGAAATTGATCTCTCTTGCTTTAAAATAACCTTCTAAAATTCAACCCTGCTGCTGCCGAATGGTATCAAACACAGACCTGAAAGAACTACAACTAACTTAACTAACATTGAGCTTGCAGCACAAGAAGGCATGGACAGGTATTTTGCATGAAAACAACATTCTTAGCCATTGACCTGAAGACGTCCCGAAACTGCGGCTCTCCATCGCCAGCCTCCTAACAATAGCATAACTATTTATGCTTTTTTGTGGAAATTGATCTCTCTTGCTTTAAAATATATATATTTTTAAAATAACCTTCTAAAATTCAAACCTGCTGCTGCCGAATGGTATCAAACACAGACCTGAAAGAACTACAACTAACTTAACTAACATTGGGCTTGCAGCACAAGAAGCATGGACAGGTATTTTGCATGAAAACAACATTCTGAGCCATTGACCTGAAGACGTCCCGAAACTGCGGCTCTCCATCGCCAGCCTCCTAACAATAGCATAACTATTTATGCTTTTTTCAAGGGTCAATTTTGGCATCAATCTATCTATTTTCGTAAAACTATGGATGCCCCAAGAAGGATTAGGCATAGCATGATGGTAAAATCGATTGAGTTGTAAGGTCATTTTATGGAAACTACACCAAATAAAGCACCTCTTAGCCCTCTCATGCTTGCTCTCTCTTGCCGATGCTCTCGGAACTTGAGAGCTGGCAACCGAATTAAACCAAACCAAACCAACTTCGCCATATCATTTCACCCTTATCAAATATAAAATACCTAAATTACAACCACCATCACCACCACTCACCTCCACATACAACAACCAAATGCCGCGACGTCAAACTTTCGCTACTATAATAATCACCACCTCTATTTTGATCCCCTTCATCTTGGCCAACCCATTCCACCTCTCGAGGCACGACGTTCATCATATCAATCATGTCGAAAAGGTGACTGCCAAATCCAATGCTAATCCCCATGCCGGGAATGGCATTGGAACAAGCATTGACGGTATTGCAAATGCCGCCAATGACATTGTCAATGACATTGTCGACGCATTGAAACCGAACAACGAAAACTACACAGAATACCCGCCGCCCGCGCTAGCCCAAGAGTTCATCATGGCACATAACGAGATTCGAAAGGCCGAGAACGTGCCACCCTTAGTATGGAATGAGACGTTGGCCCAATTCGCAGAGGATTGGGCCAAGAAGCAGACCGATTGTGGTATGCGCCACTCGAAGGGCCAATACGGGGAGAACTTGTTCTGGGGTTTTAAGTCCCATTGGTTGCCGAGAGAGGCAGTGGAGGATTGGGCTCATGAGAAGCAATTTTACAATAGAGAAAAGCGACAATGCTCCCAAGACAAAGCTTGCGGCCACTACACGCAGATTGTATGGAAGACCACTCAACAAGTTGGGTGCACTCGGTTCAGATGCTCCAACGGAAGTTTGCTCATTATTTGTGAATATGCTCCTCCTGGGAATTATGTCAATGAGGACCCTTTTAATCCAGGCTCTCCACTTTCTCCTCCTCCTACTCCTAGTGCTACTTCTCCACCATCTTCGTCACCACCGCCCCCAACACCAACACCAACACCACCACCACCACCATCGCCACCACCGCCAACACCAACACCAACACCACCATCACCACCCCACCGCCAACACCAACACCGCCATCGCCATCGCCATCGCCACCACCGCCAACACCAACACCGCCATCGCCAACACCAACACCGCCATCACCATCACCGCCGCCCCCAACACCAACACCAACACCAAAACCAACACCGCCATCGCCACCACCGCCAACACCAATACCGCCATCGCCATTGCCATCGCCACCGCCTCCAACACCAACAACAACACCACCATCGCCATTGCCACCACCGCCAAAACCAACACCAACACCACCATCATCACATGCATCTACTTCTCCACCATCGTCGTCGTCTCCACCACAATCATCACCACCGCCAACCTCTCAGCCAACATTACCTCCGAGACAAAAGGTAACTTTAAGTCCTTGATTTGAGGCATATGCTCCTGATCAAATAAGAATAAGAGTCCAATTCCATTGCCATTAAGAATAGAGTAAACTCGAAATTAGGAAAGGGTGCAAGTCGAACTCTAATGGTCATTAAAAAGAATAGGGTAAGAATTGAACTCAAACATTAAGAAAATGATAAAATTTAAAGTTCTAACATTTGATATTTGAGGGTAAACGTTTTTTGCCACTTAAGTTATTACAAGTCATCTTAATTTGTTTTATTTTTGTGATATATATATTTTTTTACCACTTTTATCTACAGGATCATCATAAGCCAGACCAGGGTCATCATAAGAAAGGTGGTGGCCATCATGAGAAAGGTCAGGGTGATCATGGCCCAGTGAAGGGCCATCATGGGCCAGGCCAAGGACATCATCGTAGTGGCGGTCACCACCGTAATCCTCATCCACCACCTTCGCCGCTAGTAACACAATACCAATCGATACAACACTAAATACCTCACCGCATTTGCCACCTACTCCACTCCGATCATCTCTCTCCAAGGAAAAATCCTCAACTCTACCTTGGAATGTTAACTCCTTTTCTTAAATGGTGTTCCACATTCTCTTTCATTCATGCTTAATATCATAATATTTTTAGGTACAACTGAGGGATGAAAAAGAGGAAAAGAAAGGGTTTCCAATGTGTTAATGAGAAGTACAAATTTTTCCAAGTATGTGTTTATTATGGCCCACAATAATTAAACAACATCACAAATGCATATTTTTGTCGCCGAGAGAAACAGAGTGACCGATTGATAGACATTGTACAATCTATCACTTCAAATATGGCTACACTGCATAGCTACTACTAGACCCTCAAGTGTGCCTTGGGAGGCCTAATTTTGTGCATTTTTCAATCTGTATTCTGTAATTAAGGGCACTATAAAATCCTCATTCTGAGGAGAAGACCTTGGTCTCTAACTGATAAGCTTTGGTAAAGAAGGCAGGCCAACACAGATATGTTGACAAGATGCTGCTAACTGTAGATGCACCAATGAGAAAGTTCATCACAACAATCTGCAGCTGAATGGCCTCCAGAGGAGAAGCTCCTCCCATTATAAGCCCGGTCATGGCACCGGGAAGCGAGATGAGACCCACGGTTTTCGCATTGTCCAGAACCGGAGACAGGGAAATCACCAAAGCTCTCTTCACCTGCTGAAGTGTTGCTTGGCGCGGGGTTGCCCCGAGAGCCAATGCTGTCTCTACCTGCAAAACAAAAAATCAGTAAACCAAAAAAAAAAGGACAGACTTTCAACCAATATAGTTTCCTAAATTTCCATTAGTTCTCTTTGTGTAAGAATTAACCTACCAGATTCATTTGAGTTCGAATATCGTCGCGAAGTCTTTTCATTGTAACCCCGGTTACTGTCATTGAATTTCCTACCATCATTCCTGCAACAGGGATGATGTATCTTGGAGTGAATGGGAAGACTCTGAGCAAGATAAGCAGGAGCATTGTGACTGAGGTTCCAGCCAGTATGGAAGCCCCAGCAACATACTTCCCTCTAGGGACATGCTTAGCCCTTTGTCCTGCTGTGTAACCAGCCACAGTTACCTGCAGGGCAACAATCACATAAGCTCATGAAATAGAGATCAAGAATTAAAGTGAAATTTAATAATAAAAAGCACTAAAAGTGCTACCTAGCATATCAAAATCCATTTAAAATTCAATGTAAATAAATTTGTTTTTTCTTTTTCTGGTCATCTTTTCTGGGTATCTTCTGAAATTCAATTGCTTTTGTCTCTGTAGAATTCTATACTGAAGCAGTGTATTAATTTCTTACATCTTTCTTTTAGAGACCTCTACTTCTAAAAAAACCAAAAAATTTAACCAACCAATCAACATGCTTCAAAAGGTAATTAAACCCATGAAAAAGGGTAGAGACCAATCAGTTCAAATTCTTATCTTTTCCTTGTCAATTTTCTCAGAAACCAAACACATGGGCAACAAAATGCAACACAAAAGAGGCAATCACAAACCATGAAAAGGTAAGCCAGAATGATCCAAGCAGCATTGTCCCGAGTGAAAATGAACTGCAGAACAAACCCAATAATGGAGAGCTGGACAAAGGCCCTAGCAATGGAGTAAATCATCTCTCCACCCAAACCCAGCTTCTGCATGAAGGACAAGGCCACCGCCAACAGCACCACCACCGTCGCTGCCAGCGGCTTCACCATGCCCTTGAGAAAATCAGCCATCCATGTTAAGTCCATGTTGGCCAGGAGCTCGGAGAAGGAAAGAAGAAGAACCTGGTCAGCATACATATTTGTGTGGTTTGCAGGGGTTTGCGTGGTGGTGGAGAGAAGTGACGCCATTGTTGAGAAACTGATAACGAAATTGTGATGGGGATGAAGAAATTAAAAAGACGGGAGGAGAATTGAAGGTGGATAGGAAGAGAAACGACCTTCCCCTGAGGTTTGAATCACTTGGTGTAGTTGACAACTTGAAGATTTTGTTTTGTTTTGTGGGGGAGAATTAATTAGGGAAATAATCAATGATTAAGTGTAAGTGATTAAATTAATAGATTCCGTATTTCTGTTACGGAGAAAAGCAAACGGGTTAGTGTGCGTACGACCGTAACGAAAGGACAGGCACGACTGGGGCGAACGGTTTGTTGTACTGCAACTGTGCTTTGTGGGGGAACTGGGCAGGTGGGTGGGGCCCGGGTTGCGTGGGTTGACGTGGCGGGAATGGTGTTGTGGGTTGGGG